TTCTTCCACCCCATATGAGATGTGGACTAGCGAAAAGCCTAATATGGGCAATTTGCGGCCTTAGGGTTCAGTAGCTTACATACACAACACTTCTCATAAGTTTGGGAAGTTGGGCCCTCGAGGAAAGAAGTGTATTTTCATTCGCTATAGTAAGCATTCTAAGGGCTGTGTGTTTATCAGGGAGCTTCCAGATGGAAGTGTAATTAAAATTGAGTCACGAGACGTGGATTTCCTAGAGGAGGATTTCCCTAGCAGAGGTGAGATAACTAAAGATATAGAGCTCTATGAGATGGGGGATCTACATGAAGGCACACCTAGTAGCCTAGTAGAGAATGAGGAAATAATCCCTCAAGCTCCTAGGGACAGTGGGAGCGATTTACTAGCCCATGAATTAGATCCAATGGATGAGAATTCTCAAGACTCTCAACTGCGTAAAAACAAACGTGCAGCTATGCCCCGTCGTCATATTGAGATTGAAGGGAAAGCATTCATGATTGCTCCGAGTGATGAGATGGAGTCTAAGAATCTCAAAAAGGCTCTCTCATCCCTTGCTAGTAAAGAATAGAGTGCTGTAATGGATAAACAAATGAAGTCTATGAAGAAAAATCATGTCTGGGACTTGGTTGATTGGCCACCACGGCGCAAGACTATTGGGAACAAATGAGTTCTCAAAATCAAGCGCAAAGCGGATGGTTCCATAGCGGATGGTCCTAATTGGGAAAGGCTACACCCAATTAGAGGGTGTGGACTATGCGGAAACCTTTTTACCAATTGTGAGGTTTGCCTCTATTCGCCTAATTTTGGCCACAGTAGCTCAATTGGAGTTAGAGCTATATCAGATGGATGTTAAGACTACATTTCTCAATGGAGAATTGGATGAAGAGATTTATATTGATCAACCAAAAAGCTTTGCGGTAGTAGGCCAGGAGTGCAAAGTTTGCAAGTTTTAACGATCTATTTATGGCTTAAAGCAATCATCCAGATATTGGAACCTAAGATTTCATCGAGCCATTGTTTCAAATGGGTTTACGATGATCAATGAAGATCACTGTGTGTACGTTAAGCGGTCTAAGGACATTTTTCTGATATTGTCATTATATGTGGATGACATATTATTGGCTGACAAGGAGATGATTGTCACCACTAAAAAGTGGTTGTTCTCTACATTTGAGATGAAAGACATGGGTAAAGCAAGTTATGTGTTCAGTGTTAAGATCCTTAGGGATTGCTCTAGGAGACTTCTCAGTTTGTCTCAAGAGACTTACATTAAGACTATTCTAAAGCGATTCCAGATGCAGAGCTACAAACCCATTGACACTTTTGTTGCGAGAGATGAGCGCCTAAGCCTTGATATGGGTCCTAAGACTCCAGAAGAGAATGAAAAGATGGCCCGTGTACCCTATGTGAATGTTGTTGGAAGCTTGATGTATGCTATAATGTGTACACGTTTGACATTTGTTATGCAGTCGGATTGGTGAGTCGTTACTAATCCAACCCAGGACCAGCTCATTGGAAAGCAGTTAAGTGGATTATGATATCTTAGAGAGACTGCAGATTACACACTTTGCTACCAAAGTTCAGATCTACATCTAGTTGGCTATTGTGATGCTGACTGGAGAGGAGACTTAGATGAGCGTAAGTCCACTTCAGGATATGCTTTCATGCTTAGTGATAGTGCTATTTCTTGGAGTAGTAAGAAGCAATCCTGTATCGCCTTATCGACTATGGAGCCTGAGTTTATGGCTTGTTCATATGCCGTTCAAGAAGCTATTTGGTTGAGGAGATTCCTTCAGCATTTTGATATTGTCACACACATTTCAGACCCAGTGACTATCCATTGTGACAACATGGCTACACTCACTTACGCTAAGGATCCTAAGTACCACGGGAGAACCAAATACATTGATGTGAGGTTCAACTTTATCAGAGACATTGCAGTGTAGAAAGAAGTGATCCTAGAGCACATCCCTACGAGTCACATGGTTGCAGACCCCTTGACTAAGCCCATTGTTAGAGATGTTTATCTTACTTATGTTAGGGCTTTAGGACTACGTAGGTGGTGATAGATATGTATTCAGTTGAACTCTTATTTTTTGGGGGGGATATTTATGCCATTAGTATTCATATTTGTTTCTATTACACATTTATGTTTACTACTTTTTGCCATGGTTTGTGAATTAGCACACACAAAATAAATAAATTTGATGTTAGCAGGCAAAATTGGCTCACTCACACGAGTAATCGCCCTTAGCGCTAGGTAGCAAACAAGGATGAGACTAGTGGCTTATTATATTTGGAGCCAAAAGAAAGGCTAAAATTATCCACTATATATGTCACCTTGGTTGGAACCAAGATGAGGTCTTGTTAGAGACTGACCATGGGTATGAGTACCCACTTTTCATGATGTTCCTATTATGGAAAGCCAGATGCGAGATCTCATTGGACGCTTGAGAGGCGAGCAAATAGAGAATTCAAGTTAGATGCTAGAAAACGACTTGTGCGCTTAAGAGTGACTAGAGATCTGTACAGTGTATGAGTTTAACATCACTCTTTGGAAGAGTAACTCCACTGTAGCATGCATTCATACTGCATGTGCTTATCGACCTGCTAATGAGATGAGAGAATGAATCCCTGCTTCCTTACCATATGAGTCCTAAAAGTTATTTTTTTCCAATGACGTCACTTTGTGCCTTTTGTGACTTTTGATTATGTCACAACATGAGGAGTTGATGTTCGGCTACTTTGGTATGTTGCCTACAATCATGTATGATTCGGCTTTAAGGGACATTACTGGGAAAACGGTCAATTCCAAGTTAAATGATATGAGGGTGAAGGGAAAATCATCTAGTTCTACATCTCTGCTCTATATTCACTGTCGACAACTCACATCGCTTTGTATGGGATGTTGATTGAGTGTGAATATAATGTAGGACCTAGGAGGGTCAAACATGCTCTTTGAGAGATTAGAGATGTTTTGGACCGATGTAACTAGATGGGTCTGGGTACATGAAACACTATTTCTATTCTTTTTGGGTTGATGTCCCTATGCTGGCTCATTTTGATTTTCTAGTATAGAGCTCCCACATGCAGGTGTTTCTCAGCGGTCACACGATTCATTGGCTAGCATGGGATTATTCAATATTTGGGGAGATTGAGATAGAGAGGTGGTAGTGTCATGCCAACTCATGTACGAGTGAGAGATATTGGAAATTGGGCTAGGTATTGGACTTGAATTTGAACGCCCATGTCGCATGACCCATGACCCATTCAAATTACCCATGTAATTTGACTTTGATTTCCTGATTATCCTATTTGTTAGGATAACCCACTATCTATCTACATCTATCCTATCTATAAGAGATAAGGATAGATGGTTATATAACTGATCTATATATAATATCAGATACATTATATGTATACCAACCCCGTAACGTTGTTTAATACTCTCTCTCTAACTCTCCTATCAGAGAATGATCAAGCCTTTGCACTGTGACTAGAGTGGATGATACTCATACTGTAGTATCACTCCATTGCTAGGTGTTTTTAGTTCGTGATTGCAAAGCACGTGATTTACCTATAAGGTTCTTCATTTCTGATTCTAACACATAAGGTATGCCCGAATCCATTTATCCCTTGCGTTTATATAAATCTTACAATATGGATATAAGACTCACACCATATGTGATACCACACCCAAGGACGGATGCACCGCCTTCTCAACTTTTTATAATTACATTACTACACATATACTTGTGAAGTGTTCTTTGTCTAATTCTTGAAAAATTATAATTGTGTCCACCCTAAATCATTTAAGGTCTGCAAAAAAAAATATTATTATTTTATAAAGGCTTTTTTATTTATATTTTTTTATTAATAACATAACAACTTTGAATACATAAATATTTTTTTCTCTCTTCTCCATTCTTCTCTCTCTCTCTTCACAAATTTAATTTTGGACAATTTATTTTATACCCTTGTGCTTTAAGACTAGAGCAATTTATCCTCTATAATTCAAATATAGTCAGAAAATTCCTAAATAATTGTAGATCAAAATCAATTGTTAACTCTATTAAATGTAGATATAAAATGACTGTAATACCTTATAGCCCTATGCCTTTTTTAATTGTTATTGTCATTTTCTCTACTTTCTCATAACATAATTTATAATTACTAACATTAATTCAATTAAATCATAATTAATTGTAAATCCTTAATTATTTATTGTAATTCTTAACTTTTAAATTTAATTATATTTTAGATCACAATTAAACCTAAATCCTTAATTATTTATTGTAATTCCTAACTTTATAATCTAATTTAATTTAACATAATTTATATCACAATTAATACTAAATCTTAATTATTTATTGTAATTGCTAACATCGTAAGCTAATTTTAATTTAATTATATCTTAGATCAATCTTTAATTATATTTTATTTTAATTATATCTTAGATCAATCTTTAATTATATTTTATTTTAATTATATCTTAGATCAATTTTTAATTATATGTTAATTTAATTTAATTTTAATTAACTTCTTAATATAATTTTTGATTTGGAGAACATGTGGGTAAAATTGCCTTTTTATTGTGTTAATTTCACTTAATTTGGAGAACATGTGGGTAAAATTGCCTTTTTATTGTGTTAATTTCACTTAATTTCTTATAAAATCAGGCACATTTTAAAAAATAGTGTGTGTGATAGATCTTTCATTACGTTATATGAAAAAACTAACTATAACATTTTAATCCAAAATTACAAATAGATTTTCTGACTTTATTGAACCATAAGGGAGTAAAATCCTCCATCCTCAAACTATAAGGGATAAAAAGAATTTTTTTCATTTAATTTTTCTCTTCTAACATATCTCATTTAGTTTTTCTTAAACACCCTTCTTATTTTCTTATTGGGCAAATTACACGTGTTCCTTATAGGTTACCTGTGGTGTCAATTTTTTTTTTTTTTTTTTTTTTGAACTGAAAGGCACTAACACTATGATTAACCAACAGAGGTTACATCAGCAGAAGATACATCAGCAGATAAAAAAGATAAAAGACTAACAGGTGGGAGCACAGCCCAGGACACAGGTAGATCCTGAGAGGCTTGGGTTTTGGCCACCCAATTTACGACACGATTGTTGGATCTATGAGTCCATGAAAAGGAAAGTTGATAGGCTGAGGCGAAGTAGCGAATATCCAGAATAATAGCACTCAACTCCCAGGGAGGGACCTGCTCTGAAACACACAATTTGATAACCATTTGGTTGTCACTTTCAATCTCCACAAATGACAAGTTATGGGCCCGAACCATAAGGCAAGCCATGCGGACAGCAAAAGCCTCATCTTGGAAGGCTGAAGAGGCCGAAACAGTCCTGGCGTTACCATCAATTAGATGGCCTTTGGAATCTCGCATAACTGCTGCAATGGCAGCCATGGAGTTCCGCTGGCAGAAAGAAGCATCACAATTGATCTTGAAGTAACCAGAGTTGGCTGGTATCCATCCTGAAACAGGGGTAGAGGATAGAGAAGTAGGCCAATGATCTTGATTGGTGATAGTGCTTAAGAAGTCATCCTTTTCAGTCCAAGATTGAGCAATTCTATGGAGTGTTGCCAAAGGATCCATTGGGATATTGTTGAAGATGAACTCGTTCCTCGATTTCCATATGAACCAACCCACAGTGGCAATTTTGCTGAGAAAGGCCGTAGCATCGAAAGTGGAGAGGGCTTGGCTAATGATATCACTTGTCCACTGAGACACATTTGGGATTGAGCCAAGGGCTATTCTAAGGTTAAGTACACTTCCAAACCACACAGCTTTAGACCAAGAGCAGTCAAATAACAAGTGTTCCACTGTTTCAATAGCAGAAAGACAGATTGGGCAGATCGTCGAAGTGCCACATTTGCGCCTGAAAAGACCAGCTTTGGTTGCAAGGAGGTTATGACAAGCCTTCTACCAAAAGTGCCAAATTTTAGGTGGAGTCTCTAATCCCCAAATAATCTTCCACATATTATTGACGAGGGATATAGAGGAGGAAGGAGAGCTGTTCGATGATCGGTCCCTAAGAGATCTGGCTAGAGCATACCCTAATTTGACTGAGTAAAGGCCGGACTTGTTGGGGTGCCAAATGACAGTATCATCCCGTCCCTCCACTGCCATAGGTATAACTGAGATAGCTTCAACTTCTTCGATGGAAAGACAGTGCAACAGTGGGTCCAAATGCCAAGACTTATGAACCTAATCAATTACGTCTGCCACCAGCGTAACATCGCAGGTGGGAGGCTTTGCTGAAAGGATTTTGAAACCTTTAATAGACGGAATCCACAGGTCCTCCCAAAGACAAATCTGTTGTCTAGAGTGTACTTGCCACCGAATACCAACCTGAATCAACTCTCGACCCTTTAAAAGACTGTTCCATGCCCAAGATGCATTTGAGCCCTTAGTAGCTTGTAAGAAGGAAGAATGAGGAAAATAAAGTCCCTTGTACATTCGAGCCCAATGGCAGTCCGGATTAGACAATAATCTCCAGCCCTGTTTAGCCCGAAGGGCGAGGTAAAAATCTTTAAAATCACACCGCCCCATACCCCCCTCTGATTTCGGGTTAGTCATATGTGTCCACTTAGCCCAACAAATGCCCTTATTTTCGGGATCTCCCTTCCACCAAAAATTTCGAATGAAGCTGTTAAGCTTAGAGCAAAACACTTGAGGGAGCTCAAAACATGCCATCGCGTAAGAGGGGATAGCCTGAACAATTGCCTTTATGAGAGTCTCTCTACCCGCTTGAGATAATAAGTTGGATTTCCACCCTTGTAATTTCAACAAAGCTTTTTCTAGAAGAAAACTATAGGCTTCTGTCTTAGATTTTCCCCATGAGGCTGGGAGGCCCAGGTATTTGGCTTTAGGATTAGCTTCAGAGACACCCAATAGAAGACACATGGCCTGGCGAGCACTAACTGAGGTGTTGGCCGAGAAAAGAGCTCCAGACTTATCAAAATTGAGAATTTGACCAGATGCCTCACTATAGACCCGTAAAATATTCAGAATACAAAGACCCTCAGAATGCTTAGCCTTGAAGAAAAGAATGGCATCATCTGCAAAAAGGAGATGTGATAGCTTGGGACAAGTCCTACGCATCCGGATTCCAGAGATCACATTGGAAGAAGACTTTGATAAATTAAATTAGAAAACACATCAGCGACCAAGAGGAACAAATATGGTGAGAGTGGGTCACCTTGACGAAGCCCACATGATGGAGTAAATGAGGTGCGCCTCTCGCCATTTACGAACACTAAAAACTCCACTGTTGTCACACACTCCATTACCAAGCGTACCCATTTGTGATGAAAGCCCAAACGAATAAGAGTAGCTTGTAAGAAATCCCATTGAATGCGGTCATAAGCTTTATTAAAGTTTAGTTTTAGAGCCATAGAACCCATTCGCCCTTGCTTCTTATGTTTTAAAAAATGAAAGGCCTCGTGCGCAATTAGAATGCTATCTTGGATGAGGTGGCCAGGCACAAATGCTGCTTGCTGAGGAGAGATGATTTTCTTGATACAAACCTTCAATCTGTTAGCCAGCACCTTTGTTATGATTTTCATGAAAAAGTTACATAAGCTGATAGGCCGAAACTGACTTAGTTTTTCCAGGGCTTGCACTTTAGGGATAAGGATAAGGTTAGTGTGGTTTACACCTTCGCGCAGACTACCAGTATGAAAAAAGCTACGAACCGCCTTACACACTTCTGACCCGACCACATGCCAATGCTTTTGATAAAACAGACCGGGAAAGCCATCGGGCCCTGGGGCTTTTAAAGGACCCAATTGAAAGGTAGCAAGCTTTACTTCATCATCATCGACTGGCCTAAGAAGAGCCTCGTTCATCGAATGAGTCACAGACATATTCACCGCTGCCAAAGCGTCCTCAAAAGGTCTAGGTCCCTTAGCCTGAAAAAGGTGAGAAAAGTATGAGGAGAGATGATCATTAATGGCACTATTAGTCTCTAACCAGACGTCGATAGCTATTTTGAGCTTTACCAACTGATTTCTCTGCCTACGCTGGACGACCGAAGCATGAAAGAAAGCCGAGTTACGGTCCCCATAACTGAGCCAATTGATCCGAGACCTCTGGTGTTGGAACATTTCTTTCCTCAGTAAAACCGTCTCAATTTCATCTTGCACAAGTCGAATTTGGGTGCCGTTATAATCTGAAAAGGGGAGAAGCTGTAGTTGGTGAAGTCTTGTTTTCAAAGCGGCCAATCTCGCTCTATTGTTCCCAAAGGCTTGGTTACTCCACTCAGAAAGGCCTCTTTTACAAGCTTGGAGCTTGAAACAAACTTTGGAAATTGGAGAACCCAGTTGGAATTTAATCCAGTTTGCCTTAATAATTTCTTCACACTCAGGATGTGTTGTCCACATAGACTTAAACTTGAACTGGTGAGGTACTTTCCATGGGGGAATTTGGCAATGAAGAAGAAGGGGACAATGGTCCGAGCCTAGAAAAATCTCATGATGAACTTGAGCATAGGGGAATAACAGTCTCCAATTAACAGTCACCAAAGCCTTATCTTGCTGCTCCCTCACATTACAGATGCCTTTTTGGTTATTAGTCTAGGTATAAGGGGTACCTTTGTATTCAAGATCCATAAGTTGACACTCCGATAAGAGCCTCTGATAATGTTCTATCCCCACACTATTACAAGCAACTCTTCCTTGTTTCTCCCAAGACATCCCCACTTCATTAAAATCACCAATACAAAGCCAAGGATCATTATTGTCCTAAGCAATTGCCTGCAATACTTGCCAAAATACCCTTCTATCCGTCCATCTAGGGGGCGCGTAAACAAAAGTAGCTAGCCACGAGGAGTTGATGAGATTATCAGAGACATGACAGTTAATAAATTTGCAGACTTAAAACTAACCAGTAGATGGACCTCATCCAACCACCATAGAGCTAAACCTCCTGAAAGTCCCACTGGGTCCACATAGCTTTTATTAGGATACCGAAGCCTTCGTCTGATAGTTTCCAGCTTCATTTGATTATTTTTCGTCTCCATGAGGAAAATTATTTGAGGGCGATGGGTTCGACACAACCCTTGGAGGATCTGGGATGTCAGAGGTCGCCCCACTCCCTGACAATTCCAGCTCAGGATTAACATGGACCTTGTGGCTGTTTAGGGCCAGCCACCACCGCCTCAACACATGAGATCACAAGCTGAGTAGAACTAAGAGGAGATGAATCTAAGAGGTCAGTTCCAGACGTACACTGACGTATCGGTACTGCAATGAGAGCTGCACTATTTGAGTCGGTTTCAGCTTCTTGAATCGCAATTTCAACCAGAGTATTTCTTCGAGAAACCCGAATGCCACGACGCCGAGATGGGGCTTTAGTTGCCTATCTGGCGGTCGGTGGCCCAAGAGAGTAAAGACCAATATCCACCAGAGAAGGTGAGGGTGGTTCAGAGATGTGAGGGACCAGTGAGGAGGGTGCATCATAACGTAACAGCTTGGGGAATCGAGATGAGGGTTGAAGTTCTTCAGGGTCTTTCTTTTTGAGGGAGAGGGATTTAAGAGCTGTTGAAAGGCATGAATCTAGAGCATAAGGAGCCAGTGATTGTGGAAGAGAGCTAGGGGATTGGAGTGAGAGGTCCAATTCGCCAGAGGTGGGAGTAGGGGTCGAGGTACGTGGGCTGCCTGGTGGTTCTATCACGTAATAAGCAGGCCTAGTTGAAGGAGTGGTGGACCTCAATGCTGAAGTGGATCGCTCCTGGGCAGGCCCAACTGTGGTTGTTAGGTCCAGAGAAGAGGAATCATCAGTGTGGTGGGGAAGCTGAGAGGACAAGAAAATTTTGTCTCCTTCAATACTAGTAAGACTTGGAGGCATATCAATAACGGTTAGTCCAGGTGGCTCAGGAGAGAGAGTGCCACCTGTCTCTGAGCAGGCAGTGCCACCTGTCTCTGGAAAGGCAGATGATCGTGCGCACAATTTTGTACCAGAGAAAGAGGTATACGAATGAGATACTGTGTCCTTTTGGCCCGGTTGATGACGCGCCGCCGTGGAGTCGAAGGAGGGTGATGCAGAATGCTTACTCCAATGACTAGAGGGAGGGCTTGCCCTAACAAGCATTTCCTCCTCCTTCTTTAAAAGTTGATCAACCGGCAGGCCCCAGCTCTTAACAGCCCCAGTGCGAAGCTCTGGACCATAGCCAGATGCTTGGCCTTGCTCCTTAGATACAAATTTACAAATCTTGTTGTCGTGGCCCATCCTCCCACAGTCGTAGCAGAAGTCAGAAAGCCTTTCATACTTGAAAAAAACCCAAATCGCCGAGCCACCCTGTGGGCGTTTGAGCCAAATACCCTTAGGTAGGGGTTCTTGAAGGTTAATAGCCACACGAAAGCGGAGAAAGCTTCGATTGAGGAGTAAACCCTCAGATTGTGCTTCCATGTGGACCAGATGGCCAACTCATCGACCCAAAATCTCACCGGTTTGCCTCGTCATATTATGGAACGGCAATCCATGAGCTTGTACCCAGAAAGAACACCAATTGAAATCAACTTCAGCTGCAGTTTGTCCGGCCGATAGAGTGCGAAGAACCAAGAGAGAGCCCATAATGGATCGAGGGCTCTCGAAAAGGATCCGGTTGCGGTCCTCGGCCTCCGTAAAGTGGAAAAGAAAAATATTATCAGACCAAGGGGAGATAGTCAGGGTACCTCGCAATTTCCATGCACTGTTTATAATGGAGGAGACTGTATTGCTGTTAAGGATTTTGGGTGCTAAGACTTTCCCAATAAGACAAAACTTGGAGACAGTCTCTGCCTCGCAACCACCATCTTCGAGAATTAGCTCGCCAACCTCAAGGTCGTTACTGATCGAGGCCATACTGGAGTAACGTAGTGGGTAAAGGTATGGAGAGGGGAAAAGAGTGTTGTAAGCGAAGATGATGGAATAGAGAAGGAGCCGAATCGAAGAGAGAATGTGGACTAGACGTAGAAAGGAGAGAGCAAAGAGAGAGAGGTAGAAAGGTGAAGGAGGGCTACTGAAGGAGAAACCCAAAAACTGCCCTAAGGCAGGGAGACCCTCATAGAAGAGAGAGAGGCTCTCAATTTAGAGAGAGAAATAGGCTCCTTTTGTTTACCTGTGGTGTCAATTTATTCCTATAATTA